TGTAAATATATGTACATATTTGTAATATAGTTTACATATATGTAAACTATTATATTTTCTGTAAATATATTATACAATTTTTAAGATTGTATTATAACATAAAAATGAGCCTGCTAAAATCCTTCTAGAAAGAAAACTGTAAACATCAACCAGAGGATCTTTAATGATTGTGAAGAGGAATTCTAGGTTATCGTGATAATAGCAGACTTCATAGCTAAGGGTTCTGAAAGCCACTGTTTTTACCATCTGTAGATGCTTGGGCAACTACAGATGCTTGTTATATCCAATATATACAATATACTGTTCTAATATAAATTCAGCCTGAATGGTGCACTGCCACCCACTGGCAAATTTGTTGGGTCTGCTAGATGTAAACTTTCCAGAGCCTCCTGCAAGGACCTGAAGGAAGAAAGAGCAGAATAATGGGCTCTTCACTTGCACACTCCATGAAAACTGAGCAGAGGTGCTCAAAATCCTTTGTCATTAGGGAAATGTAGATTAAAACTACAGAGAAATTCCATTTCACACCCAGAAGAATGGCTAAAATAAAAAACTTGACAATACCAAATGTTGATGAAGTTGGGAAGCCATTGTAACCCTCATCTTCATAGATTAGAAATGATACTGTCTCTTTTGAAAACAGTCTGGTAGTTCTTAATTGAAACAACAACAACAACAAACTTTAAACATCTGCCCTGGGACTCAGCAACTCTCCTAGGTACTTACCCATGAGAAATGAAAATTCTTGTCCACAAAGTCTATGAAGAGTGTGCAGAGGATCTCTCTTTGTTCATAGAAAGCGTTCTCCTTCCCTCTGTGGTGATGGCTTACCACTACCACTGTGGCAACTGGCTTGGCTCTAACATACTCTTTCTTCTTTGTTCAATGCACCCAAATTTCTGAGTCTCTAAGACATTCTGACTGTCTGATATTGAATTTTAGTTAAATCTCTCTTTGACTCACCTAGCCATGGAACAATGAGGAATGCAGCCTTCCTCTACTCAGCCACCTTGATTCCCTGCATTGTGACCTCAAATTAGAAATGATTGAAACATCAAACAAATTTTTGCATATTCATGTGATGGAACAATACTCAGAATTAAAAAAAAAGAAGAATGAATGTGAGTTTGCACAAATATTATGCTAAATGAAAGTGACTACACTCAAATGCCTACATTCTGCATGATCCTTTATGTGAAGTTATATAACAAGCCATATTAGTATATGATAATAGAAATAAGAACTGTTCTTGCCTATAGAAAGAGGTGGGACTGATAAAGGACAGAGTTCAAGAGAACTTTCTAGAGTCACAGAAATGTTTTTAATCTTGATGTAAGTGGTTGTTAAATGGGTATATACATTTAACCAAATTTCTCAAATTGTGCAGTTAAGATCTGTACCTTTTGTTGTTGATAATTTTTACATTAATTTTTTAAATAGGAAAAAATTAAGCAATCTATAAGCCTATAACTCATTGAGCTCAAACATCACTTCTTTGGTAACAATATCTAATATACACATGATACTATGTGTTCAGCATTATTCTAAGCATATTTCATATATTAAACTCATTTAACTCTCACAATAACCCTATGAAGAAAAGTACTATTATTCATACCCAATGTATCAAAGAAGAAACTAAAACAGAAAGTTAACAATCTATCCAAGAATATATAGCTAGTAAGCAACAGAGCTGAGATCTGTCAAGCAGATCCAGGCATCCTGGCTCCAAAGCTCTGATAAATTATACTTTGCACTGAAGCAGAATAGAACACAAAGGCATGCATTTCTCTTTTCCCACAACTTGCAACGTGTGCACTCATGGGTTCTAGTGTACTACTGGAAGTGCTTTGGAGGTGCTTAGCACAGGCCAAGATCCCCCAAGAGCAGTATGGGGCAAGATTATGTTCAATATGACGCTTCTTATAGATAGACCCGAGGAAACTACATTGCATATAAAGGAAGGGTGTGCTTTTAGTGAAAAATAAATATTTACAATAGAGAAGTGGAGTATTCAACATTCTTAAATCTTCAAACTTGGACTCACAAACAGTAGGATAACCTAACATGATGATGAGCTGTGAACCACAAAATATCCCCTTAAAGTATTACCAAAATGTTTAACTTGAATATTCTTAGAAAGTTAGAGGAAAGAGGAACAGGATAAATAACATTATGAGAAAGCAAACAGACAAATTTGGATTGTGGGATTTTCTATAAGCTTAGTATTTTTAACTTTTCAGAGTCAGTAGCATGGAAAAAACAAGTGGGATGATTGTTTTACATTAAATTAGAGGAAAGACTCAAAATCAAAAAGAGAGAGGAAAGTGAGGTAGTGTCAGCAAAATTATGGAGTATGCAACTCTAAGCTTTAGTCCCCCACCTAAGAAACAGTAAACAACAACAACAACAAACACCAAACAACTAAACCCACCCAGCCTAAACTGTCAGAACCAGGGAACCATTAGGATGGCTATAATTTTTTTTTAAAAAGGAAAAAAACAACAACAAGCATTGGTTAGGATGTGGAGAAACATCATACTAAGGGAGACCTAATGTATTGCTGGTAGGAATGTAAAATGATGCAAGTGCTGTGGAAACAGGCAGTATCTCAAAAAATAATCACGATTCACAATAACCAAAAGATAGAAACAATCCAAAGTGTATCAACAGATGATGGATTCATTTTAGCATATACAATGAAATAATATTCATTCATAATAATAAAATGGGTGTTGTTCAGTGGTAAGGCACATGCTTTGCATGTACCAGGCCCTGTGTTCAATCTCCTGCACCACCACTGCTATCTCAAGGATGAGGGGGAAGCAGAGAAGTTTTCATATATGCTATAACATGAGCGAAGGCTGTAAACGTCCTACCAAGTGAAAAAAGCCAGTCATAAAAGGACAAATATTATGATTCCACTTAAATGAAATGTGTAGAGGGCTGGAGTTGTAGCTCAGAAGTAGAGTGCTCGCTTAGCATGCATGTGGTGCTGAGTTCTATCCTCAGCACCACATAAAATAAAATACTGTTTTCACCTATTACTGAAAAATAAATAAAAAAGAAATATCTAGAATAGGCAAAAATCATAAGATACATAAATGAGACTAAAAATTTCTAGGTATTAGGAAAATGAGAATGAAGTGTTATTGCTGAATGCATGGAGTTCTTGTTTGGTGTGGTGAAAAATTTTTCAAAATACATAGTGATGATGGTTGCACACACTGTGCCACTGAACTGATGAATTTTAAAATTTAAAGGCTAGTCAGACATTAGTAATAAATATGTTGTTTTTCCAAAGAGAGAGTGCACACAAAAAGATATATAATAGCCACATGCTTTCAAAATAAAAAGTCATAGAAGTTATTCTTAGGACAAGTGGCAGAAAGAAATAGGGATAGGGCATTATATATCATGAAGTTGTTCATTTCCTTAGGTGTAATAATGGTGGTGTGGTTATTTGTAGAACATCTCATTCTTAGTATATGCATGCTGTAATGTTTAGGAGTGAAGCATTAGAATGTCTATCAGCAAATGATGTCATGCAAAAAAGGTGTGTGTTTGTGGAGAGAGGGAGGAGAGAGGGAAAACAAATGCAGCAAAATATTAGCATGTGTCAAATCTAGGTGGAGGCTATATAATTGTTTATTGTAGTACAGTCTTTTTTGTATCTTTAAACATTTTCATAATAATAAAGCTAGAAAGAAAAGTAACTCTTTAAAATGCACACTATGATACCTCCCAGAAATACATTTGTTAACACATTGGTCCTTTTAGCCATTTTTTTTTCTTCCTATGGTTAAGAAAAAAGTATCCTTTTAAATAATAAAAACAACATATATAAAACATGTTTTGGTATTTGTTTATTCAGTCTATTAAGTTAACACTGTTTATTTAAATATATATTACACAGGCCAGGTACAAAGATGAATATTAAAAGATCTCTCTTGGAGTTTCCCTGAATATACCATAAGAATTTAATGTGCTCCATTTTAAGTCAACTATGGGGTTTAAAAAAACATAAAAGCAGGTACATAACCAAAATTGTGAACTTTTAGCAACTGTGTTAGAATCTAGGAACACCCTTATGAAATATCATGCAGTTGGTCAAATTTAATAAAGTTCTTGTTGACATTTTTAATTTTTGCTGTTCATTCAAGTATTTATTGTCTACACTGTGCAGTATCAGGCACTGTGGCTACAAAAGTGTTCAAGACACCATCTGTCTACTCTTCTGACCCTCATTTTAATATAGGATCTTAAATGCATTACGTGTCCTGATAAAAAGGTTACTAATTTACCCACTTGTGGATTACAGGAGGGCTTCTAGAAGGAAGTGACATTTAAATTGAGACTTAAAGGATGGATAGGAGTTAGTTACACTCATAATACTGGATAGAGACATGGTCTGGTGTTAAATTGCTTCGTGATCAATGATGTTGGGCAAGTCGCTTAACCTCTCTGTGCTTCAGAGATCATGTTGTAATAACAGATGCAATGGCTTAGATCCATGATGGCACACATCACCTAAATTTGTTGAGCACGTAGGACTGCTGCTGTAGTATTTAAAAAGAGCTACAACGTGCCAGGCTTGACGATGGAGTTAGAGCAAGAGACAAGACATACACACTCTCTGTCCTAGACATGCCCTCTCCAACTTTTTGTACTAAAATTAACCTCTTTTCCAAATATAAACTACAGCACAGAAAATGTAAATTGAAACACTTATACTTTTTGTTCTTCCCTGTTTTCTCCTGACTCCCCTTGAAAAGGCGTTTCTCCGAGGGTTCCCTGTGAAACTTTGGGGACTACAACAGCGAGAACCGCAGACCTCTGCCACAGACACCCTAACAGAGAGAAGGAGCCGCACCACTCCTGAAGCCCCGCCCCTTCTGAGCGCATCCGCTAGCATGCATCATCGTGATTGGCTTATCTTCCCAGATCGCCCCCCACCTCTGCATCCAATCAGCTTTGTGCTTGTTGAGCGGCAGCAGCAACCGTCATACACAAGGGGCTCCTGCTGCCCGCAGCGAGAGTTGGTCGTCAGGCCATGAACTTGGGGTAAGCGTGAGAAGTGGCCGTCCCCGAAGCAGGGGGAGTCTGGGTTGGCCCTAGGAGTCTTTCGCCGTTCCTCCAGGAATGTCGCCGCCTGTAGCGGCAGAGCCCAGCTCCTTTAGATAGAGAGGTGCAAAGGGGACCCGTCGGCCTTTACGACCCCGCGGGCCTCACTTCTTCCTTCATAACTTGATTTTGAAATGTGACCTTGTTTCCAGCCCTTTTATTATTGAGTTCAGGACGTGGAGGGAAGAAGGGGTCTGAGAGAGACAGCTTAGAGACATTCCAGGTAGAATTTCTGGCGTACGCCTCTGGTTCTTCGCGAACCTGTCTTGGAGTCTTGCAGAATATTGGCGTTTCCGGGTTAATGGAAGGCCCGCTGGGCGAGGAATCGAGAGGCTTTTCAAGGAATTGTCTTGCCATTTCCTGGCACGTAACCGGTGCTCATTGAGGAGTGAGTCGTTAGATAAATTAAAAAGTCTGTATTGTTTTTCATTGCTTGGAAGTTTAATGTTTCAGGAAGATAAAAAGCAAACAATTTCAGAGTTAACTGCATATCGTTAGCAAATGTTATGTTCTAGAATCTTGGGATTTAGAAATAAGACTGCCTGTGAAGGAATTTAAGTACAGTGCAGAACAAATACTTTGCAATTTCATCCACGGTTTTTTTGTTTGTTGTGGTTTAGTTTCATCAACAAACATGAACTGTTCATAACTCTGTAACAGGGAAACGTTTACAACCTATTTCTTCCAGTATTTTGTCTTTAATAAATAATTTAATTTGATTTTCCCCACATGAACCACACCGCAGATTTTTCATATTCCTAATCATATATCCCAACTTCTGTCTCCTTTGATTGCTGGATTTAATTTTCTCTCTTTAAGAATTCACTTTTGTCCTTGTTAATGTGTATTGGCGTTTTTGTTTTGTTCTCATAAGACAATAATGAATTGCTGTATGGACTGCATTTTAGATTTCAGTACATTTTTAAATTTAGGAACTTAATAGATGTATGTGTTTTGTTTGAATTGTCTACTGTTAATGCTCATGATTTTAACATGCTACATATAAAGTATCATAGCAGCCAGAGTTCTTTGCAGATTTATTTTGATAGTACAAAAGAGTCACTGTGCATATGTATTGTTTGAAATATTCAAAATAAAGTGGAATTCCATGCTCAAGCAGTTACTAACCTATGTGGCGTTGTTATAGTCATTTTCAGGTGCTCCAGCACTCCATAGAATGTGTTAAGCATGAGCTTGCTATGAAACTAATAGATGGTAGATCCTTTATCTAGCTAAGGATTTCTGGTAACAGTATTATTTTTTCAGTGTAGTTACTGAATTAATTGTTTACCAATAACAAATTCTTGTATTATTGAGAAATCTCAAAAAATTTCTCTATTTAGTTTTCTTTTGGATTGAAAAATATTTTAAAAAACTACTGGGGGGGCTGGTGTTGTGGCTCAGTGGTAGAGCGTGTGCCTTACACGTGTGAGGCACTGGATTCCATCCTTACTACCACATAAAAATAAATGTGTTTTGTCCATCTACAATTTAAAAAGAAAAAGACTAATGGAATTGTACAAGATTTCTATGTAAATTTGTGTACATAGGTTTACTTTCAAGGTTCAAAGGAACATTTCTGGCTATTTAAAATATTTCCATTTCTGAAAAATGACAACGTTCTTTTATGTTGCAGAGATGGGTTAAAGCTCGAGGCTGAATTACTGGATGGAAAAACCAAGCTAATATTATCTCCATATGGTATGCTGTGTTACTAGAAATCTAAAGTATTAACTTTTAAATTCCTAACTTAAATTTATAGTAGTTTATCAGATTTTTTACTTGTAATAGAATGGTGTTTAAATGATACTTTGAAAGAAGCTGATTGCTTAACTGCTTCAAATTTACTTTTACCCAAGTATAGTCAGATTACATCAGTGCTTACTACTGTCATTATTCAGATTCATAAAAATTAATGATTAATGTATTTCACGTGTAATATTTATGTATTCTTTGCATGTAGTAAATATTTTTATTGTCTAATGAATAATATAAGTGAAATTTAAGTAATTATATGTGTATTCTTTGCATATAGAAAAGTGTTGCTTGAGAAAATTAAATTTATAGTAAGACTATAGTTACTAAAACCATTTTTAGTACTAGTTTTTAAACTCTGTAATTTGGTCATGTCCTTCACCCCCAATCTGTTTATAGTTTTACCATGAAAAGGTAACTAATATAAACAAAAATGAGATAGAAATAATTATTTGAACCACATTGTAAGGGTTGGAACACTCAGATGGGCTTTAAAGTTAATGCTTTGGGGGGTAATATTTCTATCTTAACATCTTAAACACTACTAGTTAAAATTTTCTTTTATAAACTGCCTTTGAGTATTTTTGGTTGATAGTTTAGTAATTTTTTTTTTCTTTTGTAGAACATAAATCAAAATTTTCTGTGAAGGTAAGCTAAATGACTTTGACCTACTTTCAAGTGCAAAATAAAGTTTTCTTTTCAATAGTTTGAAAATAATTCCTGGGAAATGTAAAGTGTTCTTAGTGATTTGGAACGATGACGTGAAGTTATGAAGTTATTGTCCTCCCCCCCAAGTTTAAAAAGTCCAGTAGAACTCTCTTCTATAGATCACTGCTATCCAGTAAAGCTTTCTGCAAAGATGGAAATGTTATAAAATCAGTTCTATCCAATATGGTGGCCACTAACCATGTATAGATTGAGCATTTAAAATGTAACTTGTGTAACAGAGGGACTACATTTCTAATTTTATTCAATTTTTAATTAAATTTAGTAGCTACTGCACTAAACAGCATCATTCCAGAGATATTTAAAAACAGATATTCAGATTTTAAAACAAAATATTTTTCTTTTCATACTCAAATTCCATTTGCCCAGACCAGAAAGAAAACTTGATTCACAAATTCCTACATCTCTTTTATAAGATTACACATGAACTTAATAGTGATCTTTCAAATTACTTTCCTTTGCCATGAACCCACTGTTCCTTTTTCTGCAAAATACATACCATTAGAAATTTTCTTTTTTTTCTATTGCAACTTCTTCCTTGATTTTCATTTTTAGATAAACATTGGCAGAAATTTCTCCTCTTCCATAACTTACTGTAGCCTGTTTTTCCTTTATCTTTGCAGTATCTTTTTAAAAAATATTTTTTAGTTATAGATGGACACACTACTATTTATTTTATTTATGTGATACTGAGGATCGAACCCAGTGCCTTACATGTGCGAGACAAGTGCTCTCCCACTGAACTACAACCTCAGCCTTCTTTGCAGTATCTTAAAGCTTTAGCTTGTTTGTGGATAGAACCCAGTTTGGACAATATAGGGCTTTTCCTTACAATTCTGAACCCTTTATGGCTTTGTTATTTCTTCTAAGTTTAATCAAGGTGGAGAAGTTTCTTGAGTACTCAGGAGATTAATTATTTGATAAATAGGTGATTCCACAAACTACATATAAAAAGTTTTTATATATAGGCATACATTAATCTGCCCCTTATCTATGGTTTCATTTTCTGATGTTTCAGTTATTTGTGGTCAACTGTGACTGAAAATATTAAATGGAAAATAAACAATCCATAAGTTTCAGAATGTGCACCATTTTGAATAGTGTGATGAAAATCTCACTCTGTCCTTCCTGGGGTATGAATCATCTCTTTGCCAGCATATCCATGCCCATTTAGTAATTATCATGTTAACTGTTGAGGTATCATGATGCTTATTTAGGGTATTTGGTCTTATCTGCAGTTTCAGGCAATCTTTGAATGTTTCACCTACGGATAAAGGGGACTACTGTGTAGTATATAGTTATATACTTTGTGTACTCCTTTAACCACTGAATACACGTTGTCTGTCTCCTGTCTGTTCTCTTATTAAATATTGCAAGTAACTGCTTTTATTTGAGTCACATTAACAAATTGCCTTTTTCAAGCTTCTAGATATGAAAAATTACTTGTAATGATTGATTTCTATCTTCCCCAAGCCTATATTCCCTTTTACACATTCTTTCTTCTATTGATATCCTTAACAGGTTTGCTATAGTTGCCACAATTTTAAAGACATTTAGTTGTATTTTTAACCAACTCAGAATATCTGGAGCTCCCCTTTCAAGCCTATAATAAAGTTATTAGTCTTGGACTTTTAGTGGAATCATTACAAAATTCTGTCAGCTGTCTAGGGGTATTTTAGGATTTTTAAAAAATTTTTTTTAATGAGTAACGTTCTCAGCTCATGTTAATTTATATACTGTCTTAAATTGGTTTCCTCCCTGTTGAATTTCGGACTTGAAAATAGACACAACCTTATTCTCCCTTGATTTGCTTTCAAGGAGATTCTCTTTCCCATGGTTAAAGAGGTTGTAGCTATCCTCTTCCTTCCTGTTTTTGCTCTTCATGGAGACAAACACCAGAATCAGTAGTACTTGTCTTTTGTTTTATTTTTTAAATTTCCCAAGTGTTACAGTTCTACAGATATATGTTGCATTTTCCTTTCTGTAAGTTATTCATGAGTGCTTTCTACATAGCGTTTTTCTTCTACTGAGGTAAACTGAGTGACTATGACACCTACAGTTTTCTGTTTTCCCTATTCCTCATAGGTTGAATTACTGTCATCTCCAGTGTGTTCTTTAAACACAGCTGAACTATATCATCATCATCAAGTTTAACACGTGTGGTCAGAGTGCTTTCCTAATTCTAGCAAATTCTCTCCTGCATTTTTCTTTAATCTTCAGTAATGAATATGAAGTAAAGATGGTTACCAGCCTAATTTCTTATGCTTATTGGAAGAGAAATAAAAGAACTAGAAATGATTCAGTGTTGTAAGTAATTTATAAAAATCATGGCCCCTAAAACTCTTACACTTAAAGTACTCTTAAAAATTAGTTGAAATAAGCATGAAAAAGTTTTTTGACCATGTGTGATCATGCACATCTATAGTTTCAGCTACTTGGGAGGCTGAGTTAGGACGATTGCTAGAGCCAAGGAGTTCGAGACCAGTCTAGGCAACATAGACCTCTTCTAAAGAAAAAATTTTTGTTGATATTTCTATATGTGGGAAATATATATTGAAGGGTGTATAGTACAAGGTAGCACTTTCTAGGTTTTAAAATGCTACTTTTCTTTGTTTCCTTGTGCCAGATCCTGACCCCATTATAAATTGTGAAGTCAACCAGTAATAAATGAATGCATTTAATATTGTCTTTATAATATGAAAAATATTGGTGGAATTAAATTAGGCAAAAGCAATATGCTATATAAAAATGTTTTATGACATAGAACTTGTTTGATCAGTTAGAGTGTATCTCATCCAGTAAACACTTCTTAAATGACTTTGGCTAGGTTGCTTTTTCTTATTTAGTAACCCACATGTAATTGAATCTTTATTTGGCAGTTCATAATTTTTTGCTACCTCCCTTCATTGTTCCTGTCTGGCTGTAGGCTACAAATAGTGTTCATAATTGAGTTTAATGTATTACATGCCAGATCATTACTTTTTTTTATGCATAAGTATTTTTAGAGGACTTTTTCTGTATATTATTTCTGATGTGACCAGAATGTGGTAAAATAATTCTAGTTAAATTAGTAGATTTCTGTTTAACAAATATTTACTGTAAATTCAAGTATGGATGTAAGACTCCATTCTTAGCTTTATTTGTTCTCAGAAAAAAACAAGTCCTTGTGGGTTGGATTTGTAGCTTAATGGCAGAATGCATGTGTGAATAGTATTTACCTCTGGGAAATGTAGAACATAAAAGCTTAAGGGAGTTATAGTCATTGAAGGGCCTCATTGGATGCTTGAAGACTTCGATGATTTGCATGAAGGAAGCTATTAAAGGATTTTTGATGAGAGGAATAGATGTGATCTTATTTGTGGTTTTAGAACAGGACTTCAGGCATTTCCATGAAAAACAGATAGATTATCATTATCAATTAACAAGAAGACCAGTTAATTGTCAATTACAGCAGTCCAGGGAGAATTGGATATGGCTCTGAACTTGTACGGTAGTTAAAATATGGAAATATAAGACAGAAATGAGAGGATTTTAAAGTATGTTAAGAAAATATGCTTTGTTTAGTGGTTTGAGATAAACTGAAATGCCCAGCTATTACCCAGAAAATGCGCACGTGTGTCAAAAGAAGGGCAAGATCAGTAGAAGCTGTGGTAGAGACTGAGGTGGTATGATTCAGCTGCCCAAGCAGACTGCATGTAGACTGCTGATAATTTGATGCATGCAGTGATTTTTTTCCTCCAAAACTAGAATGACTTGCTGGTGCCTAAAAATTGGATAATTTAATGTAAGATCTAGCATTCTTGATTCTTTAGAAATATTGGGTGATCTCGCAACTAGACTCAGATTCATGTTTGCCTGTAATAGACAGGTTCTGAGTGTTGACTCTCTATTCTAGTGTTCTTCAGTTCTTCTCAGTTCCCATCTAGTCTAATTCATGATAGACATTTGAGTTAGTTATACTAAAATAGCTGCAGAGATAAAAGGGTGAAAATGCATTTTAGATTGATATATTGTTATCAAAAACCTGAAGCCAAGAATAAACATGGTGAGGTGAGGTGAGGTGAGGTGAAGTAGATAATTAAGAGATCTTGTGGCTGATTCAGAAGGTACATTTTGAAAAGTAGGGTGAAATGAGATTAGCTAATTGGTCAGCAAGGTGAGTTTCATGAAATATAAGGAAAAGTTGGATATGAAAACTCTTATGGCATCTCACTCTTTGACATCAAGGATCTGATCTTATTTTTTATATCACCAACACTTTCCACAATGGTGAGCACATAAAACACATTTAATTGACTGTCAAATTATTTCAGATTAGTTGGATTTACAGAAATGTACAGTGGATTAAGTGGAGGATAAACTTGAGATAGGTAGAATGTAATCTAGTAGAGATGATAGATGTAATCTAGTAGAGATGATAAGAATCTGAACACAGGTTTGTCATCATGTAAATGATAAGAAAAAGATACTTGGAAGGGAGACAGTGTTTACTGATAAGCTAAATAAGACCCTGAAGAAAGAGAGTCAAAGGAGACTCCATGGTTGCTGGCCTGAGATTAGAAAAACAATGCCAAAGAAATGGAATATTTTGGGAAAGATAACTAATTTATGGGCAAGAGATAAATAATTCAGTGGGGTGAATGGTATAGTTGAAGGTATTCAAGCAAAATTTATTGAATACTTACTCTCTTTCACCTGTTCTAGTTACTGGGGTTATAGGAATGAATTAAACAGACAAGTCTCTGCCCTATGGAGTTTACATTAGAAGGGTGTGAGATGGACAGACAAGAAGCCAAATATTTCCAGACAAAACAGGTTATGGAGAAAAATAAGCATGATAACCTTACTGGTTTAGCTGCCTTGGGAATAAGTAATATTAGCTGAAAGGTGGACAGAATAGGCTAGTTTGGTGAGGTGTTGCTGAGTGGGTGATATTTGAGCAAAGATCGGATAAAGGTGAGGAAATGAGCTGTGTAGAATCTGTAGGAAGAAGGAAAGGCCTTACTGAGTTCAAGGAACTCAAGATAGAAAATGAGATCAAATAGCATGGGGGCAAAGAGGCAGGGGAGTAGGGGGTACTCACTTATCATTAGGGCTTGTTTTAGGTCATTGTGAGAAGTTCAACTTTGTTTTTGAGTAAAATGAGGAATCATTGGGGTTTACCTGGGTATTGAACCCAGGGGTGCTTACCAGTGAGACACATTTCCAGCCCTTTTTTATTTTATTTTTTAAAATTTTGCTACATTAATGAAGGCTTCTCTAAAAGTTGCTGAGGCTGGCTTTGAACTTGTGATCCTCGTGCCTTAGCTTTCTACTGGTGTTACAGGCATGTATGTATCACCATATGTGGCTTTTGGAGGCTCTTGAAGATAGTAACATGATATGACTTACATATTAAGGTAGTCAGTGTGGCTCCTGTATTGAAAGTAGATGAAGCAGGGGTAAAAACAGGAATACCAGTTTGAAGGCTTTATAGTAATTCAGGTGAGATGTAATATGTTGGAGCAGAATAACAAGAAGTATGTTGAGATAGTCAGATTCAGGATATATTTTTGAAGATGCAGCAATATAGTGTTGATGACAATTTAAATGTGGTTTATGGTAGAGGAGTTGAGTATGCAAATATAAGTAACAGATGGGGAGAAAGTTAATTAGAGGCAAAAAGCAGATGAGTTCAGTTTTGGACATGCTGATTTTTAATGTCTATTAGAAACCCAGTGGAAGTGTTAGATAGGTTATCTAGAACCTGGAATTAAAGACACAAACTTGGAGTCATCAACATAGATAATATTTAGAATCAGAAAAGTAAATGAAATGACCAGTTAAATGAAGGAACAGGACTGACCAGTGGGCACTTCAACTTTAAGAGGTCTGTGAGAAAAGAAACCAGTAAAGACTAACAAGGAGCAGTGACGAAAGTCTGAAGAATCAAGATTATGAAGTCCTGGAAATGAAGAAAAAGTTTCAAAACGGAAAGAGTAATCCTCTGCATCAGATAGAGCTCATAGGTCAAGTAAGATGAGGATTTGAGAATAGGTTACTAGACTTAGCAATGTAAAGTTATTAGTGATCTTGAGGAGTTTTGGTGGTATGGTGTGATGTGGGTGAAAGACAGATTGAAATGGGGTTATAGGAGATGAAAGAGAAAATGGGATCAAGAATTTTTTAATTGCTTACTGTAGCTACAGCATGTTTTTATTTTAGTTTTGGAGACGGTCTTGCTAAGTTGCCCAGGCTGGCCTTGAACTTGGAATCCTCCAGTCTCAGCCTCCTGAGTAGCTAGAATTACAGATGGGTGCCACTATGCCTGGCAAGAGTTTTTAAAGATGGTAAAATAATAGCATGTTTGTATGCTATTGTTTGTTGTGATCCAGCAGAAAAGAAAAAGTCATGATTCCAAATTAAGAATTGCTAGAGAGAAATACATAAGAAAGAGAGAGGTTATGGAATTATGTACAAGTAACAAGAGAATAAGTATGGGTACAGATGCTGGGAAAGATTTGGTGATTGAAACTTGCAGTTTTCTTCTGAATACTTCTGTATATTTTCAGTGAAATATTAAACAGAGTCTTCACTTGAGAATGAGGATGGGAAAGAAAGTATTAAGGTTGAATAATTATGAAAAGAGTGAGGAAACTGGGCACAGTGGCGCATACCTGTAATCCCAGCAGCTCGGGAGGCTGAGGTAGGAGCATTGTGAGTTCAAAGCCAGCCTCAGCAAAGGTGAGGCACTAAGCAACTCAGTAAGACCATGTCTCTAAATTAAATATAAAATAGGGCTGGGGATGTGGCTCAGTGATCAAGTGCCCTTGAGTTCAATCCCTGATACCCCCCCACACACACCTCCCAAAAAAGAGTAGGGAAATATATGACTGCCAGGTACTATTAAGAACTCATTTGATATTCTTGGTTATGAGTTTAAGATGAAACCAGTAAGCATGGCTGTGTTGTTTTTCTCTGCTTATGCAGTCATAGAATAGGTAAAGGATTGGATTTTGTTGGAATTAGGATTTGCTAGATGTGCATGAGAGCAAAGAGTAAAGAGTGGAAGACGGATGATTTGACTTGTGGAATTTAAGATCATTAAAGGGGCTGAGGCTGTAGCTCAATGGTAGAACACTTGCCTAGCACATGTGAGGCATTGGGTTTGATCGTCAGCATCATATGTAAATAAATAAAGGTATTGTGTCCATCTACACCTAAAAATACTTTAAAATAAAAAGATTGTTAAAGAAGGAAAATAAGCAAGAGGGAGGTGGTAGATTATCGATCTTTGCACAGTTAAAGAATTTTTGGAATTGGGATATGGGAAGAAGAGAATTGGAAAAAAATAGGAGGTGGGAATCCTTATCCAGTACTTAAAATTGAGATATTAGAGGAGTTGCAGTTGTGGATAGTTCCCAGGTCAGTGTCAGAAGGTACTGTGGAAGTGAGTAATGATGATAGCTTGGGGAATAGCAGAATAGGAAGAGTTTGAGGAAATGAAAGGATATAAGAATAATATGAATATGAAAGTACCACTAGTTGAGAAAGGATTTGTATTAGAAGGTTGACAGCAAGCTATATAAGGTCAAACAATAAGGGGCTAGTGACCTGTGAGTCTATAGATGGCATGTAAAGAAAAGTAGTATGGGTGGTATGATTTAATGACATGAAATCCAAAGCTGAAGTAGATTGGTGATGTCCTGTAACAAATAAAATAAAAGTTTATCTCTATTCTTCATTATCCAGAATTAATAATTTTTAGTTATCGATGAAGCTTTCAACTGAAGATTTGCAGTGTTAAAAATTAATTTCTATGGCTTTATTATTTAAATAGTGAAATGAAAAGTTTAGAGGATAGGTTTATCACAGATCATATAAATAAAGGTAATTATTGATTTTCCAAAAACCATTAAAAAATAAGCTTCTGGTGTTTTAACAGATGGGAAATAAGACCAAGATTGCAAAATGTCCTTTAAGAACAAAACAAACTGGACACATTATAAAATCACAAAATACTTGTATTGGGAGTGGAAAACTTTTCCAAAAGAAGACAATTGATTCGGGAACCTCACAGGCAAGAGGTGAAAAAAATAGAATGATACTTTCACCCACTAAGGATTTATGTAAGAAGTATACAGACAAAGACTGTCTTTGTTCCCCCAAAGAGATTTCATCTACAACCCCCAATATACAGAAGAATAGAAACACCATAGATATATCTCTAGTAGACAAACAGAAGTCTCACAAGAAGCACATCACAGTTGAAAACATGAACAGTGGTTTGGTGTGTCTAACACAAGACCAACTACAACAGATTTTGATGACTGTAAACCAAGGAAATGGATCTGTTTCCCTGACTGAGAATGGAAAGGAGGAAGAAACAAGTAAGATTTTTTTTCTGATTTTGTGCTATTTTCTCAATATTTGCTTTAGAATTCCACATTCATTGGTTATTATGTAAGTACCTCTTAAATTCAAATGTAACATATACCATCTTAAAATAATTATTCTTTTAGAGGACTTTAATATGCAAAATTACTTTGATAATTATGATATGCCATGTTTTAAGGTTAATGCTCAAAATATTATTCATGTGCACTATAGCCTTAAGAAATCTAGTTTTTGTGAACTTCAGAAAAGCTGTTAAATTAAAAAAAAAAGACTTGTACTTAATTTAGAATTTCTGAAGCTTTACTTACATTTAAAATAACTATATAAAATAGTTTTAAACAAAACCATCTATGGTATTTCTAGTGAAAACCAAAGGAACTTTGTGAAGATATGACTTGAGTTGTTGCTGAAAAACATTGCTTTCCTTGGCCCCTTTATTTGTTCTTCATGTCCCTCATGCTATATAAGGTCAAACAATAAGGGGCTAGTGACCTGTGAGTCTATAGATGGCATATGTGTTATGTTAGGGATTCCTGTACTGTTTTTTTTTTTTTTTTTTTTTTTTCCTGTACTGTTTTTTAACCAGTATAAAACACAGACTTAAAAGGAGTACTAGAATGTTACATGCCCCGTTTCACAAGTCATGGTATTGTGTTATGTTTTTAAAGCCTTCTAATTTCAGCTTTGGGCTAGGAATTATGACTCTGAAACTAATAGAAATACCACTAAAATTTTATTAGGCAATAATGAGATAAATAAAAGTAAAATTGGCTGTCTCCATGGCTAAGACCCCACAACTAGTTTGGAGGCCAGGCAACTCCTGTAGACTACTACGACATTCATGTTGGAGTCATTTACCTTCTCTTGATCTAGGTTATTTGTAAAATAGGGAACCTGATTGTGTCTTTAAGGCTAAAATTCTAGCTCAGAGAACAAAAAGTAGCAACTTAATGGGTATCATAAGACATAATATCAACAAAGTTAAAAGCACATTTTACTCAATTATGTATTGACTTGCCTGTTAGGTATGCTTTCTTTTCACTGGGAGAACTAGCTGGTTCAGGAGGTATTTTTAAGTCAACATATAAGCCCTCCGTAAAAATCTTTCGTTATTTGCTGTTGTAGCTGGGGTGTAGAGACACTTGTTCTTGAAAAAGTTTTCTGTTGATTTTATAGCTAAATGAGAAGAGTAAGTTCAGAGTAATGAATTTTAATTAATTGCATTTATTCCCTTTTAGGTTATGATGTTATGTTATTTATATTTGTGAAAGTATATTGGCAGGAGTAAGCAGAGATTTATTTTTCTTTTGTTGTTCACTTGGTTTCCTGTTTGATACAAAAAGTTGTATGTCATTGGCCACAAACAAGCCATTTAATCTCCGGGCTTCAGTTTCCCTTTTTTTGACAGATACCCACCTCAAAGATTGTTTTGAGAGTTAAATTAGATAACGTATAAGATTGTTTTGTTTTTTAACCATGTAGTACATTGCCAAGATAAGTTATTGCACTAGCTGTAATTTAGTGTTAATTTTAAAAACATGCATTTTGACTTCCTAGGTCAGGATAGTCTCCATTTGAACAATATTCCCAGTCAGCCAAAGGACAAGAACATTATGGGATTACTCCAAAAATATGAGGCTGTTTCATCTATTCCAGATGAAAATAAATCTGTCTTAAATAAAAATCAGGAGGCACCTAAACAATATGAACAGAAAATTGCCCTGTATGTAACTCATATCTACTACTATGGGATCATCTTGGGAATATGGTTTTGCTTTACTTCCATGTGAAATATTTACTCTGAAGCTATTTAAAAGCTTATTGCTTTATTTTTATGGAGTCAGTCACGTAAAAACCTATAATGATAATGTCTCTGGGTTTTTTTTTGTTTTTTATTACATTAGAGAGAATGAATGGAAACCAGGAGATATATTCAGTACTCTGGGGGAAAGAGAACGTGATAGAAGTTTGTTAGAAGCAAAAAAAGCCCAGTGGAAGAAAGAATTAGGTAATTTTTGTACCTTTTATTGTAGTTTTATTGGTCTATGAAATATAGAGTGAGGACCAATTATATCTTTTAGCATATTATCAAAAATCTTGTTTTATAACATTTCACATCTAGAGTATTCTTCTACAAATCCAAACGAAACTGATTTCACATGGAAAATCACAGTTGTCTCTTTTCGTTTAGTATACTGTGGTGTGCACCCCAAAAGCATTAATGTCACTGGTATCCTTTCACAGTCCTGGTAGCTCAAGAAAGGATTTCTAAATTTTTCGTATTTTTTGAGTACAGAAGTCCTATGGATTTAAAATGGTTTTATTTAAAAAATTACTTAACACATGTGAGGCACTGGATTCAAACCTCAATACCATATAAAAATAAATAAACCAAATAAAGGTATTGTGTCCATATAGAACTAAAAATATTTAAAAAAGGAATAATCAGGGTTGGGGCTATAGCTCAGTGGTAGAGCGCTTGCCTGGCACGTGTGAGGCACTGGGTTTGATCCTTAGCACTACATTAAAAAATAAATAAAGGCATTTAAAAAAAAAAGGAATAATCAGTGATATCAAGCAGTATTCTAGTTAGAAACAAACTTACTGCTGTCAGCCCAAGAATCTAATAACAAAAATTTATAATTTCAATTATGAAATTTTATTAATTACTAAGAAATACCCATTACTTCTTAGACTTAACTTAGGGTCCAGGTACTACAATTTAGAAAATATGGCTTAACATTTGTACTTCTTGGAAATAACTACAAGAAAGATATGAGATGAACTACAACATCTACTTAACTGGGAAGTCTTGTGAAGCAATTACTGATGGTTAAGTAATTTAGCAAAAAAGAAGAAATAGGGAATGAATTGAAGGTTTGGAGGTCTGTGTATTTTATGTCAGGATTTCACCTTTAAATGTTTTCAAGCTGGGCATGGGGACACACACCTGTAATCCCAGCAGCCCAGGAGTTGTGAGGCAAGAGAATTGCAAGTTCCAGGCCAGCCTGGGTAACTTAGCCCTCTAAGATGTAGTTCAGTGGTAGAGCACCCCTGGATTTAACTCCAGACACCACAGAAATAAATATATAAATAATTTTCTTTCAGCACATTTAACTTATCAAATTACAATACCAAATTTGTGAAATAAGATGGAACTACTTTGAAATAACTTAAGTATTTCATGCTTAATTATTTTCTTAAATAATTTACTTTTTTTAACCTGATACTGTTAGCAAGGAGAATTTCTCTTTTTTTAAAGTCATGAGAAATAATGACTAACATACTTACTTTGTGCCAGATCCTAAACCAAAATAAGAACTAAGGATTTAGAGATGTTAACAGCAGTTTGCCAACAGTCACGTGACTAGGAAGTGGTTGAGCTTGAAGTTGACTGTCAGGTTCCCTGCTTTCGGAGTTCTAGCTTTTTTAATTTTCAAAGTGATAACTGAATGAATGATATAGGAAAGTAGAACATCATAATAATTAAAATCAAATAAGTTATTCTGAAAAAAAAGTTCCATATTGATAAATGTGATAATAAAAGCAATATTCTTATATCCATTCCTACCATAGTGATTAAAAGTTTTATTTCATATCCTTAAAAATTCCTCTCTGCCTTGTGAGTTAATTTCCTACCTAAAAAACAATTTCAATTAAATCTGTGTTAGAATCTGCTCTGCAGTATTTAAGGTCATGATTTGTTTACATGATTTTTTTTTTACAGTTTTTATACATTTTTTTTAAAAAAGGACATTATTTACAGATGAACAGGTTGCTTTAAAGAAGAAAGAAAAAGAAGCTTCTGAAAAGTGGAGTAATTCTTGGAAAAAATCTGAAAGTGATAAAATAATGTGGGAAAAACTTCAAATTTTAGACCACTCTAAGGTAAGAATATCAAAATCAAGTATTTAAAATGCTAAGCAGTGTTCATATTTTAAAATTTGTTTTAAAACTCATTAAGGGGGTCTGGGGATATAGCTCAGTTGGTGGAATGCTTGCTTCAAATGCACAAGGCCCTTGGGTTCAATCCTCAGCACCAAAAAACATAAAACCAAAACCACACCACAAAACTCATTTAAGGGAAAAAAAAACCTTACTTGTTATGTGGTGTTTTATGACAATAGTTTACAAGTTATGACATGAACTAGTTTCTGTTTGCATTCTGTAAATTATCTTGCTATGTGTGTGTTGGTGAGCATAGAGGCCTTAGGCACCTCCTTTAGGCTCCTATAAAGGAGCACTGCAGTTTTTTAAACGGCTCAAAAAAGGTATTTTCATATGAAAGATGAGTGTATGCCAGATATCCTTCCCATATTGCTTTTATGATCTTTAAATTTTATTTATATTTAATTTTAGATAAATAGTACCCGTGTTTTTCTTTTCTTATTTCTTTCCATCTGCTGGCTCTTCAAACATTCAGTTAGTTTCCTTGTCAGGTTATGGTGATCCAGGCTGATTGGGTCCTCACTACTTAGAGCTAGTCATATTTTAGAGGTGAAGTCCTAAGTGTCAGTACTTTGAATATCTAGATCCTTTAGTGCTTGATTTCAATATAACCAGTTTTCCTTAGAGGAGTAATTCTGAATTCTCCTTACTTTTAATTACAGATTAACTTTTATGAGTGTTTTATAAAGCTCCTTAATTTACCATTTCTTTTTTACATGTATAATCCCTTCTACCTTATGAACATTTATATTTCAACAAATGTATTCTGAAAACAATGTAGGTAACCTAAAAAGGTTGTTTAGATGGTAGAAATTTTTAGCACTGTGGCCTAATTGGGTAAATGCCTTGTAGATCAGTGCTGACTGGCCTATTTTGATATATGTTGATAATTTAACATTAGCAAAAAGAAATCTGAATTGCATTTTTCTATTGTCCCAGAAGTTACTTTTGACTCACTGATAGAAATAATTTTGGAAAATCCTATAGTTCTGGGTGATAATTTTAAGTGTGTGAAGTTTTGAAGTTGATTTATCCAGATAAAGTACAGGTTGAGCATCCTTAATTTGAAAATTCAAAATTTGATGTTTCAACCTCTAAAACCTTTTGAGTACCATTAAGAAGTCACAAGGGACAATTCTACTCTGACTTCATGTGACAGTCACAAAATAAAGGTGCACTAAAAAATATCCTATAAAACTACCTTCAGACTATGTATATAAAGTATATATGAGACTTAATTTTGTGATTTGGCTTGGGTCCCAAAATCTGAAACATTTACGGTAGCATTTCAGATACTCAGTATGTGCCATTAAAAGCAGCAACTAAAACTTAACTGAAATTTTCCATAAAGTTGACTTATTCACTAATGAAAATATAACATATTTTCAGTTACCAAACTTCAGGTTGGAATGTTGGCATGTCATTTATTCCTTAATACATTGCTTTTCTTTCTTTCTCTTTCTCTCTTTCTTACTGGGTAATAAACCCAGGGGTGCTTAACCACTAAGCCACATCACCAGCCCTTTTTATTTTTTATTTTGGGACGGGATCTCACTAAGTTGCTTAGACTGGCCTCAAACTTGCCATCCCTCTGCCTCAGCCTCCCTAGGATTACGGGTGAGCACCACCACACCTGGCAGTTTGCCCTACACCTGGTCATTTGTTGCCTGTGATTATGAGTCAAAAGTAAATAGGAATAGAAACACTTTTTTTTCTAACAGTTATCAAGGAATTTAGACAATATAAAATGTTAGGAATTTTATTTTCTACAAATGGCACAGTTAAAATTTTCAGGCATCAGTGGGTATTTATAGAATTTGTTATAGAATATATAATATAGAATGTACAATTGTAGAATTTATTATAGTTTATAGGATTTGTTATAAAATAAACAAATCAGAAAATGTTGACAGTAAATAAGCTTTATCTAAATGCACATGTGCTGAAATCTCATGATCTCAGCATATGGAGTTCTGATGCAAACTGCTGGTAGCATTCTCTAACATCAATCACTAAGATATTGAAGAAACTGAAGGGAGCAGTATTTTCGGTGTGTCGGGTTGGTTGGTGGCATGGAGTGGAAGCAAACCAGGACTATCTATGGGAGAATAAAGTAAAATTGTTGGAGTTCTATCCCTGCTAACCTGCTTCCTCCCACCCCAGTGCCATTGTCTTAAACAACGCCTCACCTTACATTTATTATAATTCAAATCATTGTTTTTAGCTGTCCTCTAGGAAAAAAATCTTGGACCGTGCTCACTTGAATCTCATTCCAGGAATTGGGAAAATCATTTGGGGACCACTATCACCACTAAATTTACAGGCCTGGTCATTTAAAGAGTACTACCAAAGAAGGAAGCCCTGACTTTAGGAGTTGTTCTGAAGGTTAGAATGTTAGAAAATAGTTGTGATTTAACTAATAATGCCTGGAACTTTCTACCTTCAGATCAGCCTGCTCTCCATCATAGTTAACTACAGAATTTACTGAATAATCATTTCCAGACAGTTGTGATACTAAGTTATTGACTTAACTGATTTAACTCAGTTAAGGTTCATCTATATCAACATTAGACTCAAATTACATTTGATATTATCCAGAAGGCTGAGAAGTGATAGACTCAGTTTAATGTTAAATAGTTCTTACATAGACAACTTTAACTTCTGCATAGGGAATTAACAGTCATACTACTAAATACTAAAATCATAATGGAAAACACAACTACAGTACTTGAAACAGGATGATAACAGACACGCATATCAAAATATGAGGTGTTAAAGGGTAGAATTCAGGAAGCTTCCTTTCAGAAAAGAAACCTTTAAATCAATAAGCGAGGTGCCCATCTAGAAAAAGAACAATAAATCTAAATTAGAAGATATAAATAATAAAAATAAGAGTACCTATGAATGAAATAAGTGGACAGAGTTCTGGAAAAATATAACAAAAGCAGCCTTAGAAGCAGAAAGCGAGTCCTTTAACAGCATAGGTAAATGTAGCTCTGGTTAAAAGCTTTTTCTCACAAGGGAAACAACATACTCATGTGGTTTTGCTGGCAGTTTCTACCAAATTTTAAAAGAATAAATTTCAAATTTATACAGACTCTCAGGCAATAATAGAAAAAAGGAATATCTGATTCATTGTACAAAACCAGTGTAACCTTGACAAGTCCAGGAAAACAAAACAAAACAAAAAACAATGGAAAATTAGTTTTATTTCATTCATAAATATACAAACAATTCTTAAAATATTAGTAGGTAAAATTCAGTAATGCATGAAAAAGTCATGGCTAAGATCAGTGCATGTTCTGTAGCTAGGGAAATTTTTTAAATCCAGAGTTGTTCTGCTCTAAAACTTACCCTTTTATAATTTGTGATGCTGTCATAGTGGGGTGATTTTTAAAGCATTTCTCTGATTTTTTTTCCATCTGACTTCTCCACATGGAAATTGGGTCCTCCAGTTGTGGAATAAAAGTCACCCATGCTCTAGTAAGCTTAACTCTCAAAATCCAATAATTAATAAACAACCCAATATTTAAAATTTGGTAAAAAATACTTGAGGAGGATATGGCAGATAAGAATGGGAAGGACTTGGCAATCATGAAATAACAATAAGGGCTTTCTGGACAAGGGCAGAGTCGTCACAGAGTGTTCTTTTCCCAAAGGTACATTCTTATATAGAAAGTTTAAGTAGAGAATTAAAGGTTTCCTTGATTTATTTAGATGTCATATCCTTCTAGTATGATGTTTAAAATTTAGTTTTGAGAATTGGAAGATAACTACTTAATAATATAGTCAAAATCTTAGCGAGAAATGCCTGACTGGGTTCAACTATATAAATAATTTTGGCAAAATTTGAGTTATAAAGTAGCCAGAAAAGATAATTGAACTTTATTAGTTGGTTTGATGATTGTTTAGGAAGCAATGCTGCTGGAGCATCCTTTTGGTGTTGTGAAACAAGAACAGAGAAAATGGATTGAAGAGTTGAATAAACAAGTAGAAGATGACCAGCAAAGGAAAACAGAGGAAAAAATTATATTTTCAAAGGTACCTTAAGTTTTTATAGCTATAAGGAAAAAATTAATTTTGAAGTCTTTAATCATATTAACTTACAAGTATCCTGAAATTACTTGATAAGACCAGAGTATTTAAATTGTACGTTTGCTCATGTGAACCTGGATTGATTGAATGTGTCTAATGTGATTTTGCATAGCTTCTTATAAATTTCCTGATTTTTTGAATTTCTCATTTGCTTTCCAAGCTATTTATGTAAATGTATAAGGCATCAAAACAATACAATTTTGTTAATTTTTATGTTTATTTTGGTTAGTGATTTTTGGAAATCTCATGTTTGGATGTCATTTAGGAATTTATGTTGAAACAATTGGGAAAATTCTCAGCAGTTCTTATTTGTCACAATTAGGGTGAGGAACATGACAGATGGGCAATGCATTTTGATTCACTAAAGAGTCATCCTGGTTCTCGGTCTCAGCTCTCCTCTCGGTCAACACAGAAACAACCAGAGTACTTCTGTGTCTCTCCTGATACTCAGGAGCTGGCTGATGTCAGTAGTGTTTATACACCTACAACTGGAAGCCAGTTCGAAACTTCAGAAGAGGAGCACATAGCAAAACCTCTTAGGGATGTGGCTGAGGCAAATAATCAGAAAACGAAGTAAGTTTGTTCTTCAGAATTTATTGATTTTTATGAAAATGTGTTTTATTTGGAGTATTAATATGTCTTAATTCGTTTCAGGTTTGATATATATATTCTTTTCAAGCAAAAATGATGTAGGCTATGGAAACTACTTTTTTGGGGTTCTGAATAGCTAATGTATATATCTTGTCAGCTTCCTTCGTTCTATGACTGCTCTCTTGGACCCAGCACAGATTGAGGAACGGGACAGACGGCGACAAAAACAGTTAGAACATCAGGTATTGCATTGCAAAATATTTTTTGCCTTAATAAGTACTAATATAACCAACATACACCTAAGTAGCTGGAAGCTAAAATTCTGGTATAAGCATAGCGTACAGATCCTATTCCAACCTGTGATGAATCCCTACCTCAACTGACATGAAGTTGTAGAATTAAGCTTATGCTGAGAACCAGTCACACTACAGTCAGGTACATGTCTTGCAGTAGACAAGGCTCTTAGGATGTAAGTTAAGACTTTGTACTGTCTTGGGTTAGTCTTGGATATTTTTTCAACTTATTTCCCCAGAGTCCTGTTCAGGCTGAGAATTAGTTATTGGTTTCTTTGAAAGGGAACCATATGGGCAACTGAAGTAGAATTAGAAACCTGGCAGATAAAAGGTTAAAACTCTTCCAGTTTTCTCTCATGTGCAAAAGGTAGACAGGAAAAAGGAAAAGAAAGGTGTGTGGGTTGGAGGCCATCTCATGAAAATCAAAGGGAGATCAGTAGAGGAAAAGGAACTAAGGGGAGGGAGGGAAAAAAGTGCTGAGGAGTGATTTTGGCCAAATTATATTGTTAGAATATGTGCATGTACAAAACTTTCAGTTTTAGTCTATAAAGTGTTTAAGTGTCTGAATAATTTTCCTTAAATCAGAACTTTTTTTCAATTCTTTGTTTGTTGAGATGTGTCTTGCTGTGTTGCCCAGGTTGACATTTAACTCCTGGGCTTAAGTGATTCTCTTGCCTCAGGCTCCTGAATAGTTGAGACTATAGGTGCCATACCTTTGATATTTGAATGATTTGGTGTAGCTGTTCTTATTTTTACTTGGTTCACTGAACAATTTATATAGCTTCTGACATTTACCAGGCAGTATCTGCAGTACTGAGTTTATGTCTTCAGTTTTTTCTATCTTCAAATAGCCCTCCTGGGAATGAAGAAAAAGTAGGTACATAGAGCTTGACTGGACAAGTGGAAGATGGGAGAAACACATTACAAATTTTAACATTTTAATTTGACTCATATATAATATTTTCTGCATCAGTATGGATAAAGTTTATTGAGTTACCAAAATATATGAAATATGGATTTTTATTCATGGCAGTAATTAATGTGATTTTATGACTAGAAAGCAATCACTGCTCAGGTAGAAGAGAAGCGCAGGAAGAAGCAGCTGGAAGAAGAGCAAAGAAAGAAGGAAGAACAAGAAGAAGAGCGTCGCTTAGCACGGGAACGAGAAGAGATGCAGAAACAGTATGAAGAAGACATACTTAAGCAAAAAAAAAAAGAAGTACATATATTTAAACTCTTTGACATTTTAGAATAAAAATGTTTTTTAGAGGAAAAATAACAATTCGAACATTAGTGTGTGGAAGTGTAAAGCTATGTGTGGAGACATCTTTAAAGAAAAAAGGGAGAAACTTAAGGTTTTATTTCATACAATATAGTTCTCAAACACTGTACTGCTTTGGCTTTTTTCTTTCTGCTGAGGTGGTCAAGATGAGTTAATACAGCACAAAGTTAATTCATATGCTTGATGTTGAAAGAAATGGTTGGCTTTTCTATCCATATCACTTATAAACAGATGCATATTTTGCAGAGTGATTGGGTAGGATTGATGATATTTTTGTGGCTATTAGAGGATTCTTCTGTGTTAGCTTGGGGAGAACCCCTTTGTTAAGTGACTGAGACAAAGTAGGTAGGGTAGTATGGAGTGCCACATGTTAGCTGACCTGACAAAGAGGAGATCATACAGAGACATTTGGTTGCCAGAGATTTTTAAAGAACAGAGTCTGCATTTTCTTGTTTTTTTCCACTTGGCATCTTTTGTGTCCAGCTTCCTGCACGTAGCTTAATATATTTGAGATTCAGCCATAATACTGCGTGCTCCCACAGTATTTTCTTTTTTATTGCCTATGTAGTGTTCTGTTTGTGAGCATATAGCAGTGCATTATCCATTCCTTTGTAGATTTTTCTTTTTCAGTGTTGGGAATTGAACTTGGGACCTTAAGCATGCTAGGTAAGGCAAGCAGTCTGTCACTAAACTGTCTCCTCCCTTGCTTTTTTTTGGTGGGGGTGGTTTTATTTAGATGTTGATGAACCTTTGTTTTTTTCATTTATTTATATATATGTTTTCATCCTTCACTCCAAAGTTGGCTAGTAGGGTTCTGATTTCATTAGCTTGAATAGCCAGAGGCAGCTAACCCTATAAGATATCTTGAGAAAAAGTATCATTTGCTTCACTGCAAGTGCCTTCAAATACTGTTTTACCTTTTAGTATTCATTTTCAATTTTAACAGAACTGTAAAATTGACAGTTTTTAAAACTTTAAATGGCTAAAAAGTTTTTATATTTTTATATAAGCTCAAAAAAGGCAGAACTTTGCCTTTCACTCTTCTACTTCCAGTGTCCAGACCAGTATCTGACATGTAAAAAGCTTAGGAAATATATTAACTGAGAGAATAATTTTTACAAGATTGATAATTTTATTTAAGAACTTTACGTCAATATCAATAGGAAATCATGACTCTCAAGACGAATGAGCTATTCCAAACAATGCAGAGAGCACAGGAATTGGCACACAGACTAAAACAAGAACAGAGAATCCGAGAATTGGCTCAAAAGGGACATGACACTTCTAGATTGATGAAAAATCTTGGTGGTAAGTGATTAATCAGAATTTTACCTTTTTTTTTAAGATGATTTTTCAATACTTGCTAATCGTAACTTTATAAATAGGAATGCATATTTGAAAATTACAAGTAGAACTAAAGCTTTCACATACTTTTGTTGTTGTTGTTCCCTCTTTTGCAATATTGGGATCAAACCCACAGCTAGTGCATGTTAGGTACACATTCTACCACTGAGCTGGATCACTGGCCCTTCACAATTTCTTCTGTGTTGTTTACAGTGATGCTGTGACAGAGGTCAAATGTGTACTTTTGAACCCATGATTACAAAGAAAACAACTGTGATTTCCCTAAATTAATTTAAGGATTAGAATACAAGTAAAACTTTATAAAATTATATAAAATTTAGGCTAGCCTTTCTAAATCTTTATTGCAGCATTCATTCTGATTTAAGCTAAAAGTTGTGTGTGTACTGCTGTGCTATACATAATTACTTTTTTGTTGTTGGTGCTGGAGATTTAAACCGGGGCCTCTAGTCTGCTATTCAAGCACTCTCTTACCACTGAGTTTTCTCCAGTACATAAATTTTTTTAATATCCCTTAAGTATCATTTTAAGATAATTTCTTTCTTTTTGCCAGTTGATACAATACAAATGGACTATAATGCATCCATTAACATTTCAAATTCAAGACATGACTCTGAGGAAGCCAGTGGTAAAATGAACTCATGTATCAATTCTACGACTTCTCCTAGGAAGGATACTGGTGTGCAGACAGGTATATAAAATTTTCATTTGTTAAATATTACCAGTAAGTTCTATTTAAAGTTTAAAAATTAGAGATTTTTATAATAGCTTTATTGAGAGATGTCCATGAGTGTTTTCTAGTGTATTTATAGTTGTGTAGCCAGTACCCAATCAATTTTAGAACCTTTTCATGACTGAAACCTAGTAACCCATTAACTCTCAACCCATTTCCTCTCTCCTCCAGTTTGCATTCTGTCTTGGAATATTTGCCTCTTCTGGACATTTCATGTAATTGGAATCGTACCATATATGGTCTTTTGTTGACTGGCTTCCAACTTAGCCTAACTTTTAAGGTTCATCAATATTGTAGTACTTACAATATTCCTTTTTGTTGATGAATATTGTTCCATTGTGTGAAAATAAATACATTTTGCTTGTTCCTTCATGATTTGATGGACTCTGGGTTTATAAGTATGCTATTATGAACATTCACGTACAAGATTATTTTGTACTGGGGATTGACCCTGGGGGCACTTTACTATTGAGTTACATCCCTCGTTTTTTTTTTTTTTGAGACAGGGTCTTTTAAGTTACTGAGTATGGTCTTGAACTTGTGATCTTCCTGCCTAAGCCTCCCAAGTTGCAGGGCTTACAGGTGTGTGCTACTGTCACCAGCCCAAGTTTTTGTGTGAATATGTTTCAGTTCTCTTGGGAAAGAGGAGAAATTAATGAGCATTTTGAAAAACTACCAAACTGTTCACTAAAATAACCACTGGTGAGAACCTAACATGGTACTGTTAGTTGCTTTGGAGAACAGTGTGGTAGTTTATTTTAGTGGTTGTAAAGTGGTTGATATTGAGCATATTTTCATATGCTGGTATTTGTTTCACTGTGTTACCCAGTCTGGTCTTGGGAATCTTGGACTCAAGTAATCCTCAGCCTTCTCAGTAAGTGGGATGAACAGGCACATGCTACTTTATTAAAAACTTGTAGGAAGCCATTACTATTTCACTTTTTGAACTCTCTAGGTACCAGAGGATCTTCCTATCATTACTTGTGATTCTTACAGATCCCAAGATCCAACCAACTTGGCTGGCCATTTAGCTATGTTATTATTATCTGTTGGACCCTACTTCAATATACCAGACTAATTAACTACATCATGGGTATGATTGGCGCCACTGTAATTTATTAATGGTTAAAAAATAGGCTACGGTTGTGGCTCAGTGGTAGAGCACTAGCATGCTTGAGGCTCTGGGTTTGATCCTCAGCACCACGTAAATAAAGATGTGTCCGCCTACAACTAAAAAGAATTGCCCTCCAGCAATTGCATTTCTGGTTATACACCCCGCTCCCAAAAAAGACCACTGTTATTTATAATAGCCAAAAAGGAAACATGTGCATGTATGCACAGATGAACAAAATGCAGTCACACCGTAGAATATTTATTAATACAGCATCAGGAAAGAACATGCCGTACAACATGATGAACTTTGAGGACTTTAAGTGGCCAGTCACAAAATGACAAGTGAGTGTATTACATAAGTAAATTTATATAAACACAAGTAGAATCGTGGTTGCCAGTGGTTGTCTACTTTTTCCAAAAGTTTTAGGGGGTAGTAAATAAGAAAATTGTTTATAAAGTGATGAATTTTGGTATGTCATAATTTCAATTTTTTTTATAGATGACTTAACTACAGGCATATTTGCCAATGCAGAGTCATACTGTGAATATGTAAAGGAAAGAGAAATCACAAATTGTTCATCTCCTGAGATTTCTGTAGAACTTAATGGACAATTTAAGACAGACAAGCAAGAATTAAGTAAGAAAAATGCCAACTTAGAAAAAGAAAACAGTTTATGCAATGAATTTATAAAACCAGAGAAACAAACAAAACACATGAAGAGGTGTCCTAGAAGGCCTGAATGGAATTTAAATAAGCCTCTCAAAAGGTATGTTCCAGCATCAGAAAAGTATCCCATACAGCTTCAAAGGCAGAGAGAAGAAAAAAAGGTAAGGAGGCAGATGGAACTGCTTCATTTGGTAGAGAGAAATAATCCTGAACACCTCTCTCAAAATAGAGGCACTTCATCAGAAGTTCATTCATCTCAACAAGAAACTGAATCACAGAGCAGGTGGCATCTAGTCAAAAAGGTAAAAACCTTTTATATTTTTAAGCATGTATCAATGTTTCTAAAATTTAAAACAGTTCCCCAGCAGTATGTTTTGACAAAGAATAATATGTAAATTTGTAAATAAGTTTTATAGGAACAACAGCCATGCTTATTCTTTTTGTGAATTATCGTTGGCTTTATGCTGCACCAAAGACCACATGGCTCAAAAGCTGAAAATTGCTACCTACCTCTTTATAGAAGTTATTTACACTCAACTTCTGTAGATGGATGGTTCTTTATTCGTTTATATAAAAGTCCATGGACATTACCATTATGTGTTGTTCACAAAATGTGTCCATCTTTCAGGAAGAAGAATCTCTGAAAATTCATTCATTGAACAAGGAAAGGTATGTGGGTTATTTTCCATGCATTCATTGAACAAGGAAAGGTATGTGGGTTATTTTCCATGCCTACTTCTGTGTCAATCTATATATATAGGGAAAGGCAGAGGTTTAAGGAATAAGGATGGCATTTTAGCTGGAAAGGGATGGTTTTATAACTGCATGAACTAGCTAATTGTCTTTTTGAAAACAGGAGGCTTAAAGGAGCGATGATCCTTAATCTGTTGTGGTTTACCTCCCCCCCTTTAAACAGGTTTCAGTCATCACCAATTCCAGCAGTGAAAAACAGAACTCAACAAACTCAGACTAATAATACATCACACTTACCACTAAAATATAGTAGCTGTGAAACAGAGAATCTGATCTCAAGAGGTGGTCAAACAGGATTGTCAGCTGGGATGTCTGAATCATCCCATTTTATTCCTTATGTTCGAACAAATGAGATCTATTACCTTGATCCTGATGCACCATTGTCTAGGCCTTCAACCCAGGAACCTCAATACCAAAATTCTCAGGGTATGTAATACTACCTAATTTATAAGTGAAGATCAGTGTTAGTTTACTTTACAAATCTATAGCATGAATTTGACTTTGTAAATTTTATCTTGCTTCAGATTGTGACCAAGTCTCTGACCACCACATTAGGGATCCACTCCTTAATCCTAACTTGTTGAAAAATAGGGATCGACAGCAAGCAATCCTTAAAGGACTTTCAGAACTGAGACAGGTATGAGCGTTTCACCAAGTCCAGATGTTACCTTTCAAGGGTGGGGAAGACTGTGTGGCTGAATCCCAATTTAAAGTTATATATGCAGGACCTAAAATTCTTAAAACAGTGTCACATTAATATAATTCGAAATGATTTTCCAGTGTGAAATCATTAGTTCAATTTTATTGAACAAAAAAAAAAAAAAAAAAAAAAACCCCATACATTTAACAGCAAGACAAAAAACAAATTATGCTTTGATTAATAATGCAAACTGAGTGTAATGAATGTATTGGCAGTTTTAAACATTGATGGCTGAGTAGAAATTACATGTATGATCTTATCAACTTTCTCCATCTGGGGCTTTGGTTTAGAAATTAGAGGTATAATTTTCCCTCTAGAAAATGTGAATGGGTCACTAAGAAAAGGGTCTAATTTGGGTCGGTCTCTATATATATAGCTTAAGATAACATGTGAAGGGTGATTGAGTGAAGAGGATTTATTTATAACTACTACATGATATCCAGTTGTGAAGGACACAAGAATTACTCGGGGTGGGGATCAAGCTTAAGCTATGGCCATATTTATTACACACCTTACTAATGTATCAATGTGATTTCAGGGCCTTCTCCAGAAGCAAAAGGAGTTGGAAACTAATCTCATGCCTTTAGCTGCAAATCAAGAAGAGAATTTTAGTTCTTCATTTTAAACAAATGATAAAATGTGCTCACTGTATTTTTCAAGTACCCTATGCTTGTACATTATGTAGTAAATGCTGTATTTTTTTTTTTTTTTTTTTTTTAATAAAAGCAGACACTTTTGTAAAACCTCACTGCTATAAAACTTACCTTAGTAGTCTGGAGTTCCTGACCTGTTCTTCCATGGCTTTTATGTACCTGAGAGTACCAGAAGACTTAACACATTTTTAGACTTTTACTAAATAACCCAAATCCAGTTTAGGCTCCTGTGGAAGTTTCTCTAAATTTTGACATTTATTGTAGAAACTGCTGCAGTTTTCAAAAATGTAGAAGTTAGCATTAGACCACAGAAAAGTTAATACGACTTTTCAGTACCTCAAAAAATATACTTCTGGTTAAAGTTGCTTGTTGTCCTGTGTAAACTAAACTGCACAAAATCCTATATACACAAAAGCTTAAGTCATCTAATTTTACATATAAAACTGACTTCAATATGAAGCCTAAGTACAGAAAACAAATGTAAAACTTAAAAAGTCCCAACATGAGAATTCAAATACAATATGTTAGAAATATATATTTATTTCAATTTTCAGATGCTTCAACTGATACAGGCCATCATGATTTAAATAAGAGGAAAAACATTTCAGAAAGGATAAGAAACCTTTTGCTTAGAGAAAGAAATATAAATTGTTAATAAATTGTTAATTCACTTAAACAGAAAAAGTTCACAACAACCTTTTTTTTTTTTTAAAGTTACCACATTTCTCTTTCATTTTTTTCCCCAATTTATTGGAGATGGAGGTTTCTCTCTATCCAAGCTTTGAGTATAAGCAGATAAAAAGTCATTTTCATTTTCTTGACACTGACTTGATGAAAGGGCATATGGTGTCCCCAAAAATGTCTGATGAGTGAGAACATTAAAATGACTAAACTGATGGGACATATTTAATTGACTCTGGTGAACCTCAAAGTTGCTATATGAATCTTGTTCTGCTGAACTGCTGTTCTCTCCTTCAGAGCATACTATATCATCAACAGAAGCGCTCTCTTCAGAATCAATTTGGTAAGTCTTATCTTCTAATAAACTTTTTTGCACGTCAAGAGATGACTGCAACTCAATTTGAATATTCTTTTTTTGATCTGTTCCACTGGATCCTTTGGTCTCTTTCGCCAATATTTCTGAATGAAAATTGCTGCATACTTCTATATGTGAGATTTCATCCCCTGAATCCAGAGACATATCCTCTTCATCCTTTTCATCGTTTTCTAAAAGAGCTACATTTAAAAAACAAAAAGTCCTCCTCTATTGAATTACACAATTTGTTTAAGTTTTAAAATTATACACTACTCACACAATATAATGCGTCAGGGTCTGCAAGTCCACAATCCCTTAAAGCTTGGTCTTCTGCCACAAGTTCACTTAGTCACAACACTCACACTAGGTGTGAATGTCCAGATAATCCGATGCTAAAAGCTTCTGCGAAATGTGTTCACGTTTAATGTTGGGAAATCCCAACTCCCAGCTCCAAAGGGGTTAATGTCAAAACAGCATCTAAAGTTATACGGTAATTCAGTATTTGACAAAACAAATATAAAATAAAATTTCTGACATCTAGCTTCACTGAATTACTAAACTAAGCTCTATTGAATGATCATCTCTGCTTTTCACCAAAAACAAAGTTAAATACATTGTTCATTTTACGTAAACTCTGGAACCAAAGCAGAGGCCATCTCACAAGACTGAAGCTATAATATTCCTACTATCTCCAATTACATTGCTTCATACACCTGAGGAGATTTAGTAACCCAATGCTAAATCCCCAGATCTGGTTTCCTACTTTTTTTCCTTAATAAAACCCCTTATTGGACAGCAGCAGTCAATAAAGTGTACATACCCTCAAAGAGAAAATGCATACTCACAGTATGCACAGGCCACAGCATAGTCAGAAATGCAGTATATGGTAACAACTTGTACTGACTACTTGTGCATGCTGAGTACTAAAATGATAAATGCCTTTAAACACTAACCATAAGCCTATTTACACTGAAGTCAGTGGTTTCAAAATAGGCATTTCAGTATTTCATACCAGACAAAACCATTCCTTTTTCTGTCTGCCTTTAAAGAAAATAAAACTGCTGAAAAGTTACCTGACTGTGACTCAAGGTTCTCATTAGCACCAAACAACGGAAGGTTTTCTTCTGTGACAGAGTTGTGATAGCCCACAAGAGTTTTAAAGTTTTGCATAAAGTCTTCTGTAGTTGCAACTACTATTCCATTGTCTGTGTAACTGGAAAGCACCTTGATGCTCTTCTCTTAAAAACAACAAAAAAAGCACCTGAAGATTCATAGACAAACAATGATACCTAACCACAACAAAATCCTTTATTTCACACATTCAGAATTCTAGCTTAACCACCCATCTCAGCCCCAGGAAATCCTTTTTTCATCCACATCCTTATATTAGAAAGCTTAAGAGTGTTTTCTTTACCTGTTAAAAAGACTATGTGTCGCTGTTGTATGTTCTGAGCCTGAAGTCTGATAAGGCAATCCAATTCTGGAGCATTTCGAGTTTGTGAATCACAATTGTGGTATGACAAGATTTCAACCAGATGTTTCTTCTGATAGACATTCAGAAGTGTCAACAAACTTAGAGCTTTAGCATTCAATCTGAAATTAAACAAAGTTCAAAATCTGGGTCTGTACTTCTAAAGTTTTTACTTCAGATTAAAACCTTAATTCCTTAGTTAGGTAACTAATGACAATTATACTCTTAGCAATAGGGATGCTCAGGAGAGAGAGTGGGAATTAGGCAGTCTACAAGCAAGCTGGCAGGGGTGGTCGCTATACTACCTTAGGCTAAAATTTCAATCATTCTACTCTAAGCTGTTGCTACAATGTAAGGCACAAGGCAACAAGCCATTAAAAAAACTATTAGCTGCAGTTAGGAAAGTGAGGGAACTGTTGATAAGTATACCGTTAGATCTCAGTATTGTTTATAAACTGTAATAGAAGAGATTTGCCCTAAACCCACTTCACAGGCTTTGAGGGTAAATTTTAAAAGGTGAATAGCTGTAAGAATCAAATAACTGGAAATTAGTTAACCCTGAATTCCCTTGAAGAGTGTACCTCAGTCTGATTAGGAAATGCAGAGAAATACAAATATAAAAAATTCTTAATTACCTTTTAAACTCTACAGTAGGATAAGTATCTCAAACTCATCTGATACTGTACTTGTTTGTGGACTAGTCCTCCAAGGAACTGACCTTAGGCATATTAGAAGTAATATGTACAAATATAAATGAATATCCTAATCACCAGTCTCCTTATCAGGTTGAGATTAATCCTTGTCCAAATACTTGTTAGGAAGAGGGCCTGATCTAGTTGGCTTATACAATTCAAAGAAAAAAAAATTGTAGATCCATTTTGATTATTTTAGATTAATAAGCACATTAAGCCAGTTATACTTTACACAAAACCAGAACTTAAACATCTATCTAAACAATAATACCACTTCTAACTTAGATTGGCTATGGATAGCTGTCAAAATTGCAGTGTCTACAAACATGGGGAAAAAAATTTGTGAGCACAGTATTAAAATCAACCATTATGCATTTATTTTTTCCCAAATCTTACCTGCCTAGTTCTTTTAGCTTTTTCTGAAATTTACAGTGAACTTTCCACTGCCATTTTCCTTCTGGGGTACTAAGGTCTTCAAGGAATGCCAAAAAATTTTTAAGGCTCTCTGTTGAAATAATGAAGTTTCTTTTCAGTTAACAATCCACATCTGAATTATGGAAGAAGTGCTTGTTCATATCATGTAAGAGATCTACTTTCCTATGTACTCTTTTCCTAAGAGACTTACATTATCCCTAAAGCACTAAGACTATAATATCTGCACATGAAAAAAGAATACACTGATGACAGTACCAATATCAGAAGTAATCTAGGGGTTGGAGATATAGCTCAGTTGGTAGAGTGCCTGCCTAGCATGTACAAGGCCCTGGGTTAAATCCCTAGCACCACCCCCAAAAAGTAATCTATACCAGATTCACAGAAAAGAATTTAAAATACTAAAAATAGGAAAGAAATTTGAGGTGATAAGAGCCCAGGAAAAAGATTAAAATATACTGGTTACTGTGAGTGACAGAATAACAGACAATACCATTAAGAAGTCAAATCCCCCATTTTCTCTAGAAACCTAGGGGTGGGGATGGTGAACAAGTTACATGCTCATAAGACTGCATTAACCTTACCAATTGTAACCACTTCTGGATTTAAAATTGATTCATCAGACACAATAAAACCTCCTGATACAAATAAATCATTGTATGTATGATTTTTAACATCATCCAGGCTATCAACACCAGCAAAATTAACACAGGGGAGTTTCTTTAAAGTCACCAAGCCAGGTACCTGTTAAATATAAAAAACAGAAAAGGATGGATAAGGAAATGAAATGATAAGTAACCTACACAGAAAATCTTTATGGTTCATCTGTATTAATGCATTGCAGCTGAAAAAAAAATCACAAAAATAATTACTTCAACATTATTTCCCAATATATAAACCACTATTTAAATATTTGACAATAGACCTGAAAACAAAATGGACAAATGGTAACCAGTCTGTAACACACGAATATAGTCAAAATTCAGAAGACAAGAGTCTCTTGACAGGATACCTCCAAATCAAAGGGAAAGGAGGACTAGTTTGGCAAAGAAGAGGTAGCACAAATAGGTGCCTGAGACATAAAAATAAAGGTGAGAATACATATTTAGCAGGCCCCCAGCATTCAAGGATTCAGTACTTTTATTAGTACTGACTACTTTGACTGTCAGAAGAAAATATGATGTACAGCAATTTAGGAATTTTGCAGTGGTACAAAACAACTGCCCCCAAGCTAATTCATGAAAGGATACATATGTTTTATCATCTTTAAAGCTTACAGACAAAACCTTTAGCTTCAGACAGTTAAGATTTAAAAATAAGGGAGTTATAAAAAACCAAAATAAATATGAATGTGACTTAACAGACTACCTTGTGAATGAAACCTGCAATGTCTTCATTTTGAATAATAATCAATAGTTTATCTAATTTTGATCTTCTTTCCAAAAACTGTTCTGGGTGGCATTCTGTATTGCCTAATTTGATAAGATATTCCTG